GCGTCCTTCTGAGGCAATGGAAAACAGTCACACAGTATTATAAAATTATTGAATTTGGAAGTGTAAACTTTCGAATCTTAAACCAGTCGTTTAAATGCAAAGGAATCGTGACGGAACCTGAAGATGCATGTTCTCTACTAAGTAGTGAAATAATAACACATACAAATCTCAGTTAACTCTGTGAAATGTACCAAAGTTAACCCTACGAGAAGTCAATTGCAACTTTAGTAGCTCAGTAGTAGTGTCTCTAAACCAGTACAATTAATTGAACTCTCTGAAGAAAGTACTAATCATTTCATTTCTATGAATACACTATACTAACTAATCCTTAGACTTTTATGTCAAATCTCTTCATCCATGTAAACGTAAAACATTTTATGTGTAATTTTACTTATGGATAGATATTGTTGCCAATTCTGAGACTAAAATCTAACATTTATTCAATATCTCTTGATTTTCAATTGTATTAAAACTATATACAACCAGAATAAGTCTATGTATAAAATAAATTCTAAAATATTTATATCAACACAGTATAGCTTAATTCTGTCTCCATCATTTATCTCTTTTGTTACTCAACGTTTTCATGACTTTAAAACAATTGGTCCCTTTGATAAATTTCGATAATTTAATGAGATGACAAATGTTCTCAAAATTATGTGATACATTTGGGCGATGCATTTCAAACAATTTGATAACATATATCCTTTCATGAGTTAATTGAAGCTAGACCACCATGGAAAACATGGAAGCACTGGACATTAACACCGTTGGATGTCGGTTCAGTGGCCTATCGGTTAAGTGCTCTGGCGCGAGACTGGTAGGTCCTGGGTTCGAATCTCGTGAGTGCGGGATCGTGGATGCGCACTGCTGGGGAGTCCCACAAAAGGACGAAACGGCCGTCCAGTGCTCCCAGGTTTTCCATGGTGATCTAGCTTCAATTGACTCATGATTTCAACTATGAAAATATTGAAATCTCTACAAAACCCCTTCTGACATATATACTTGTCAAGACATTTTTATATGAAAACTAAAACGTCAATTAGACAGAATAAAGGTAAAGTACACAAAAACAATGACAAACACAATAAATCACTGTTACCAAGGTAGGTTAAAGGTAAGAACAAATTGTTTTTGAACAAATTAAAGGGGTTTTCAGTTTCCGTATATTCAAGGCTTCAATAAACCTTATTGTACATCCGTGAAGTTTCCATATATATATATATATATATATATATATATATATATATGTATATATATATATAATTTATTTTAACAATACATATATCAGAAGGGGATTTTGTGGATATTTTAGTAATTTTATAGACCTGAGATCATGATTCAATCGAAGCTAGACCACCATGGAAAATCTGAAAGCACTGGATGGCTGTTTCGTCCTACTGGATGCGCACTGCTGAGGAGCCCCACAATAGGACGAAACGGCTTCCAGGTTTTCCATGGTGGTCTAGTTTCAATTGACTTGTGTACTCAAATTAATGACAAATAAATGGGATATACTAAACAGAAAACACAATCTATTTATCTATCTATCCATCTGTTTATACAACCGATGATTTATATTCTCATTAAATTGAAATAAGTAAGATTTATGCCTTTTTCTAAATCAAATAATTTTTCACGCTTGACTTTTCATATTAAAAAAATAATACAATGCTCATAGTAATAGTGATACTACTACTACTAATAATAATAGTAGTAATGGTAATGACTGATTATTCTCTTTTCATAGAATACTAACTTACATTCCTTTTGAATGTAACAAAATGTGTTAGACATAGAAATAAAAAACGAGTTAATTTACAACTTCATATCAAATTATTCACTTGCTGTACCTCTTTCTCTCTCTAGCTCGTTCGTTCTTTTCATTCCCTTCTATCAAATATTTCAATACACCGACATAATTATTAATGATTTATCTTTTTTTTTTTAATATCGCTTAACAATCAACACCGCTATTATCAGCTATACTACAGTAAAATTTATTCAATGAGAAACATAAAGTGAAAAATATCAGGTTATTTTTTTTAGAAAAAAGTTGAAATAATGTTAGAAAATTACTTCTCAATTAAAATTGATTATGAAACAACGGTACTTCAATTGACTATCTCTACAATTTTCTTCAGTTATTTGTTGTTTCTTTACAAAATAAGAATCGGATTGAGTGTTTGTTTTCTCTCTATCTTATTAGTAATGTCAAGTAAACGGCCAATATATATAGTAACTGTGTTTGGCTTTGATTTTTTAGATTAACTAAGTTTCATTTTAAACATTGTTTGTCTAACATTTTCTAATCTTTTCTTTGCTTTCCTGGAATTTTGAAGTTGACTTACTGTAATTTGATTGGTTTACGACTAATTGGTGATGAATTTAAATATGTAAACTCATGTTCAACAATGAAAATACTAAAATCTCCACAAAACCCCTTCTGATAAAAACCTGTAATTACCTACAACTTCTTGTAATGTTTACGAATTATATCGTATTTAACACTACTGGTCATATTTCTTTCTGTTTAGTGGGGAGGATTAGTGTATATTAGAGTGTAATTTTGGCTAAAGATTTCATCTCAAAAATTTAGAGTGACCTATATCTGTCGCTTGTGAACATGTTCGATGTAATACACCCCGATAAAGCGAACTAAAACTGTAAAATTATAAACTTCAGAGCTTAAGATAAAATCTTTAATATAAATTATAGTTTGTAAAATATTCAGCAACTATCAAATAAGCAAACTGAGCAATTATACAAAATGGTATATATGGCACATTCGGTAAGCATTGAAAATATTTTAAATCACTGTAGATGAGAAATTTAAAACATTTGCACTAAAAGTTACATCAAGTTATACATTAATGATGAGGAAGTTATCTATTTGTGTAATAATATATGAGGCTTAATCAACTAAAAGACCTAAACACTTTAAAATAAGAGTGGTTATACTACTGTAGTGTGGTCTACTTATATCCATATAAGTAGTATATAGCGGTGGTCAGACATAGAATATATTTTGGCAGCAGACCGTTAAGGAAGGAACTGAAGTGAAATGCGATTGGTAGGTAAAAGCATGAACAATGAAATTAGAGAAGATGAACTGATATTTACAGAAGGAACAGTAAAGATTGAGACAATTGGTTGTTAATTTGCAAATTAACTGCTTGCTGTATGGTTAACAGAATTTAGTGAGATAGTCTTTAATTTGTGCTTAAATATATTCGATTGTCCGTAGTCGTGTTCTCATTCACTACACTACCAGCAAATAAACAGTTTTTTTTACAGGATACTCTGAATGTTGCGAGAACGGAATAAAATTTGTTTGTTAAATATTGTAAACTTACGGTTCTCTAGTATACTACGACAATAACAGATCTGTTAATGCAAGTGATAAATACTGTAGATGATTTTAACAAGCTATTAAGTAAATGCCTTTATTACATTGTGAAGTAACTTAGTAAGCAGATACATACTAAAAGTTTCATTTTGAACAACGTCAATTCACTGAAGCGTGGTTACAAACAACCTAGAACATAGAGGTACAATCACTACAAATTCTACCTGTTTCTTGTACTCGAATACGTAATGATCTTTCCCTCTCTCTCTCTCTCTTGTACTCAATTCGTTCATCTATATTCAGAAATCGTGTGAACATGGAATATATACTTATATGTTTGTTTTTTTCACCATTAAATTAAATGAATTTATGCATGTTACACACCAAAACGACATTTTTATAACATTTTATTCAACTATTTATCAGACAATCAGTCAGCTACAATGTAGAACCAGGCAGCGATCCAAGTTGCCATACCTCATTAGTACAAAAAGATGAACACCGGATTCATAGTAGTTAATTTAGTGGTGGTAATATATAAGGGATAGGTTGTATATAAGGATATAGTACAGGAAGAAAGACAAATATGAAGCAATTTTAATCTCAAGGTTTAAGGAAAGACAAGGAGTGTATATAGGTGTTCCATCATCATTGATTTTAAGCCATGTCACTCAGAGTCTCCAACCATTGACTACGATAGTCAATTATTTATACAATTCATTGAATAAGTGAATAAATAAAATCAAACAAATAGAAATGATTTCACTTCATTTCATAATACTCTAATTTAGTTATAACAGTTTAAACTGATGTTAAACTATTCAAAATATCAAATATTTTGTTTTTAACAAAAGTAGATAACAGTTGGATAAAAAGCCTTTTCATTTGCAATGGGAGCTTTGATTAATGGAACTGTCTTTAGTATATATGATAACTAACATTTTACTTTTAATCATTGAATGACTCTTATAATTATTTGTCATTAATCATATAGATAATTATGAATTTGAAATTGTCTATATAAAGATAATTTATTTTACTGTGGATGAAGTGAAACTTTTGAAATTTAGTTCATCAATGACCATTTCAAATATCAGTTGTTCTTATTAGATCTAGTTACATCGAATATATAATTAGATAAACCTGTCAGGGAATTATCGAATACCATCCAACTTATATCAATGCAAAATAATTAATAATAAATAAGAGGTCTATATCAGCTTAGTGGATTTACGGAAAGCATCAAGTGAACGTGATTAATATGTTTCAAGTTATCCACGGTATTCCATTAAAATCGCTCTACGGTTTATGTATATCCTTGTCAACATGATGAATCAATACAACAGCTCCCCCTTCTTCACTAACTATAATATAGCTCAAATTATTCTAACACAAATGGATATTACATAATACATGTATTTTAATCCATTTATTTATTGATTAACAATCTCGGATATTGTAACTGCATAATTCTCATTCATCATTTAATTAATCACTTAATCATTAACTACAATTCTCATAAACACTTTTGAATTTGCTCATTATACCGACTGTTATCTAATTTTAGTTGTAGATTTCATTGTAAGTAAGCAAAAAACGGAGGGTTTAAAAATGATCTACAAACTCAGTTGTATAAAAAAAAATTACTTACCAACATATTGCCGAATTCCAATAAGACCAATGAAAAGAAACATTAATACCCCAGTATACTGATAGTTAAGTCTATCAGCAAAATCATCATCAAATCGCAGCCGTGATGATCCAATTCTTCCAAGCTTAGTTAGTTTCCAGATGAATGTAGCATCCATTACTCCACCTGGTTCGTGACCACCGAATGAATGACTACCGTGACTATCACCAACAAGACCACCTACGCCGCCTTCACCAACTTCAGTATGTGCTGCACCTCCGCTAAATGTACGTGGATGTGAATCAGATGCGTGTATATGTCCAGATGTATGACGACGATAATCGTGCCCTCCGGATCTACGATGATCACCTGTTGAGAAAAAATAAGATAGAAAATACAGTTTATTTTAGACTAATATCAACTCAAGATGTTTTGTTTTTAAAAATAAAACTATTACGTTTATTATTGGGACTCGTTCATGTGAAAAACTTGTGTACACTGGTGAAAGTTATTCTTTCTCTAGCTAACAATACATAGGGACACAAATAACTTACCTACACAATTTACTAATACATTCAAATCTCAGGCGTATAAAATATATATAATAGATTTTGATTAGAGTTGGATGGTGACTAACAGTGGAACCCTGTATGAGCGTCTCATCCTATTTGGGACTCGTCAGCTGGACGTGCCTACACCACAGAGTCAGTGCTCAGACCGGGAGAATTGAAGAAAATATGCAACTCAAAACCACTGTCAGTCAACATCAGTCAGAATTTTCAATACGAACGTCAACACATTTCTGTTGTATGGAGCAGAAACTTCTAGAACTATTAAAACCATTATCGAAAACGTAAAAACATTTATAAATAATTGTCTTTGCAAGATACTCAATGTCCGTTGACTCAATACCATCAGCAACAGCCTATTGTGGGAGGTTACAAACCAGCTTCTATCTGAAGAGGGGATTATGGAAAGACTTTGGAAATAGATATAACATACATTTAGGAAATCCTCAAACTGCATCATGAGGGAAGCGCTAACTTGGAATAGTGAATGGAAAGGCAAAAGTGGAAGACCAAAGAACACATAGTCGAGAATTGGAAACAGATATGAAAAGAATGAATAACGACTGGAAAGAAGTGTAGGGGATTGTCGAGGAGAGAGTTGGATGGAGAATGCTGGTGGGCGATCTATGCTTCTCCACGAGGAGTAACATGCGTAAGTAAGTAGTATATTATTACCATTATTATTGTTGTTCACATTAGTTGCTCATATTATAGTATTAAATACTTATCATTCTACTATTCAGCTGGGTTAACTTACATTTCATTACTGTAATTGTTCTCATCAAAATTCCAACCTAATACTTTCAGGTAAAAAGACATAATGTTATGCATCAAATAATCAAGTTACAATAGGTTTAATTTGTTTAGTATTCATTAAAAGATCGACCGATATTACAAGCTAACTGAGGTTTAAGCATTAGTACATTATTTGAATATGAGATTATTTTCTGTCTACATCGAATAAATGTCAAATAATGCCGGATAATGTGATATAAAAATGATATAATTTTACATTAATAGTCTCACAAATCAGTTTTCTCGAATGAATAATGTTGTAGGTTAAGGTATCACCTATTAAACCAATGTAAATAAAATCCAACACAAAGTAAATTATACTCTAAACAAAAAAACATATGAATAGCAAACCAAACTAAATCACTTCAGTATTGTTTGTTTGAATCTTCCCATCGATTTGTTAGGACTGCAACTGGTCAGTCTCTAATTGGCATATGTGCATACTGTGCGTATTGCCTCGATGGGAAGATTCAAACAAACAATACTAAGTTGAATTTAAACTTCACCCCATCGCACAAGCAAGTGGCTATCAGAACTCAGTGGCCGAGTGGATAACGTGATGGCATTTGAAGCGAGGGTACTGGGTTCGAATCCCAGAGTGAACATCAACTCTGAGATGCAGGTACATCCAGATGACGAGTCCCAAATAGGACGAAACGCGCGTCCTGGATTCCACTGCTAGCCACTATCCATCTCTGCTAAATCACTTCAGTTATGTAAAAGTCTTGAAATAAAAACAATAACATTAGAGAGATGTTTGCATATAGCTTGAAACAACCCTAGGAATCATCATTTCTATTACTAATCAATGACAAACGAAACCGTTATAAATAAACTTCTACCAGACAATAACATTATAAACCAATAATAACATTAAAAGTACTTTATATCCTTCATTGTTTCAAAAATATTTTTTAAAAAATCAATAAACAGTAACTAAGTTGCAGATTTGACCATCATAGGGGACTGAATAATAATAATAATAATAATAATAATAATAATAATAATAATAATGAAATTGTATTTTATTTTGCCATTTCTTCTCAGGAAATAATTCATTTATTTATTATTTTTGTGTGTTTTTTTATCTTTGGTCATTATTTATGATCCGATTTTTCCTTTTCTGGTTTAAAAATATATAAAAAATAAAATCTTCATGGAGTTCAGGAAACTATTTTTTTTTCTTTTTTAATAAAATATCCAGGTTGTTTTTTTTTTCAATTTCATCATAGATACTAAACGTAGGAGAATTCAGTAAATCCAAATAATAAATAAGTTTAATTATATAATAAAGAATATAATGAGAGAAATAGGAAGTAACTATGAATGAATGAATGAATGAATGAAATGAGTTGTTTAATTATTTTATATACTACTATAATATCTATACTACTAGTATTATATATTCATTCGTATATTGACTGTTATTTTCTTTATTGCTTCATGGATAATGATAAATGACAAAGAGATTGATTTAAATAGATAATTTCATCAGTTATTCACTGGTCATAGTCTTTGTAAATAAATGAATAATAGTAAACCGGAAACTGAAAATACCATTATATATACATTGGATTGTATAGATATAATTCTCATTTCACATGTGTTTATTCTATCAGTCTATAAGAAGAGATAATCTTAAAAACTGTATTATACAATGGTAAGAAAAGATGGATAGTGGCTAGCAATGGAATCCAGGACGCGCGTTTCGTTCTATTTGGGACTCGTCAGATGGATTCCACTGATACCCATTATCCATCTTTGCTTATAATGATTGTGAAATAAGGCTATATCGAGGCAATACGCACAGTATGCACATATGCCAATTAGAGACTGACCAGTTGCAATTCTAAATATCAATAGGAAGATTCAAACAAACAATACTAAATGAATTTGTATTACACAATGTTAGTCCTGTCATTTTGATACTGTTTTGTATAAACTAATTTAGTTTCAATACCAAGTGAGATGCGTCAAAATTCTATGAATTGTGAAAGTCAATTTAAAACTACAGATATCATACTGATCATTGTTGACTAGTATGAAATGTAGATAAAGAGTCTAATAAGGATTGCTTCCAATCATTTGACATGAAGACAAAAAATAAAAACACCTAGATTTTAGACTAGTAATTTCATTTGTAATGTGTTCGGTATTAATTGATGAACACTAAAAGCTAGATGAAATGATGTTGGGTACTAAGAATTAATCATTTACTATGTAAGAATTCTTTGACATCCATTATATATATATACTCTCTGACATTATTTCATAATACATGAATACTAATGAAGTTCTATCCAACTTTTTTGTATATTTTTCAATTTTTTATAATATACGAAATTCCTTTCTTCTTAGTATTGTTTGTTTGAATCTTCCCGTCGATATGTTAGGACTGCAACTGGTCAGTCTCTAACTGGCATATGTGCATACTGTGTGTATTGCCTCAATATAGCCTTGATTCACAAGCATTATAAGCAAAGATGGATAGTGGCTAGCAGTGGAATCCAGGACGCGATAGCGTTTGAAGCGAAAGGTAGTGGGTTCGAGTCCCAGATTGAAAATCAACTCTGAGATGCAGGTACATCCAGCTGACAAGTCCCGAATAGGACGAAAGGCGCAACCTGGATTCCACTGTTAGCCACTATCCATCTTCGCTTACAATTTCCTTCTTCCTTTTTTTATACATTATGATTATATTTTTTCAATGTAATCAACTCATCAACATACAACATCATTAATATAAACTTCAGTTTGATTCTTTTCTAGACAAAATTATTTTCTGAATCTTCATAATCAAAGTGGATTATAAGATAAAGAAAAAAGGAGAAATTTTATTATTTGAAAAGAATAATTTTCTTTCATTTTAGATTATATTCTACTACAGTTTAACAGATACTTCAAATTGTCTGTTATATTACATCAAAATCCCAACAGTAATCTGTTGTCTTGATAAATATATATCTAATATTGAGTTAAGTGGTTGTATTCAATAATGCAAGTCTAGTTTTGGTTTTTTCTAATTAATTAAATTGAGATGATCTAAACAGTGTACATCCACAATTTGTAATGACACATTCCTTTCATATTCAATTTTACCTCGTTACAACAAAATAGGTGTAATATTTAAATGTAAAGTTCATAATAGAAATTATTCTAATAATGGTACTTCATTAAACATTTACCATTACTCAGTTAATAAGAATCTTTTGGGTATACAAATATTTTCCAAATTGCTTTTTCACAATAAAACGTAGTTACAATTGTTAAGTGGTTCGTTAAATATTCAATGTAATTTTGATAACTTTAAAGTGTTTAAATGTATTGAAGAGAAAAGTAACTAGGATGATTTACTGGAATAATTTTATAGGAGAATTGTTTCTATCTGAGTAGGTTTATTTCCCTTTATTTCCAAACAAGTATCTAATACAATTCATTGATCAATTGTCAGATATAATGATAAATATATTTTGATAGAGTTTTGTTATCTGAGCTGAATGGTTTGGTCGTGGAGGCTTCGTTGTTCTTCTGGATGACATCATCAGTACTTCTACCCGAAGTTTGTGTTGACAACGTCGTTCGGAAGGACGATGAAAGCTACATGACCAAACCCTCCAACTGAGAGAACAAAACTCCATCAAAATCATCCGCCTAAGCCACAAATCTCCACCATCTCAATGGTAAATATAGTTTAATATTCATTTTGAATAATTTATTGTTTAAGTATTATTCAAGAGAAAATCAAAAGTGAGGATAAAACTGAACATCATCTATCTCTTATTGGACTTTCATCAAACTGAATGAACTCGTCATTAACATGGAATTACGTTTTGTGATGAATTAACTGACATTTAGTAAGATTTAATAGTATCATGTTTCGGTTGAGAATTAAAGTCCTAAAATTCAATTTTAATTCAAGTCACAAAGGTGAAGGAAGCATAGTTAAAATTCTAGTAATTTTCAGCTCATGATAAAATAATATGATCGTAATAACCATGATTTAAC